ACCTAACGCCACCGACATAGGTTACGTAACAATAGCAAAGTGAAATAAGTCAATGTTGACTTGGTTTCACATGGGACGTGAGCAGGGCACGTCTGTTGGTTTGTTCGCCCCAACCTTAGCGGACTTTCTCGCTCTTTATACCACATTGGTTGCTCTAAACATCTAATAATGATGCAGATGGTTTTACGTTGGAGTTAGTTGAAAGCTCGGTGCGTCTCATGCAGAGAGCTGTGAGAGGAAACCAACATTGTAAAACTGTGGGCCGCAAAACAATAAGCTGAAAGATGCTGAAATGCTCTGTAGAGCCGAAGGAAACTAGAAAGTTGAGTGATAATTGTCAGTTCATCACTACTAATCACCATCTCGTATTACACTTAGGTGTAAAAGGTGATTTTTATCATTCATCAATTACCCTTTTAACGATTACCATTATGATTTGAAATATAGTGCTTTTATTAAATATATATACATTGTTTGTGCCTATGTAGAAAGAGCTGATATTCAGAATGTGTTTGTCTTTTTCAGTCATTATGTCAACAGTTGAATGCCCTGTTGTGTTGTTTCTCCTAAATATGGATCTGGCAAGTGGTTGCAGTCTTTATCTGTCAGTGTGGCAAGTCAAACCAATCTTAACTCCGCAGGCTCAGCTCAATCCACCTCAGCTTGATCCCACTCCCTGCCACTCACCTCACAGATTTCTTAGCAGATATACGGTGTACAATCATTTGGTCAGAAGGCATTGTTCGTTATGTGTAGACGATGGAGAGTATACGGACAAAGATTGAATGAGGGGATGAGCACTTTATATGTTTGACGTCAAACACGCTCAGTATTCTGCACATATGTAGTATTGTTACCTGTCTTTGACTTCGGATTATGGTAAATACTTCGTAGTAGATGCAAGTTTGAAGTGATAACACGGATACTATCTGTGCTGGCTGTAACTCGTTTATAGCCACAGTCTGATGATGTCTGCCCAGCTGCCTTCATTCTGTTCAGTTATGGTTGGTTAAAGAGAGTATCTGCATATTTTCATCTGTAGGCCCTGTATGCCTCATTTGAAGTGATCGAAGCATTTGCGATAAATGTGTGTTTGTGTGTCAACATGCATACATAAGCATGCAAATACACTTGGACGCACACCATCTCAGCCAAAATGTTTGACCTGGCCAACACTAAAGCTGTTGTCTTTGCATCACATGCAAAGTCCTGACTTTGGAGTGTGTCCATCATGCTGTTTACTGGATTGTCTGTTGTCTTCTATCCTCGTTGTTCAGGCATCTGGTGTACTTACTGTTGTCGAGGGATAGAGCACAAATTCTCACCCAGCTGCTCTGTTCTGGGTTTCATAGCTGAAACACAGGGCTGTTGATTGAGGCGGGCTGTCGGTGCTTCTTTATGTTCTTTCACTGAGCAGGACAAAAACTATTTTTCTTTTTCTTTCTGTGTGCATAGATCTGCTTTAAGTGCATGTGCCTACTTACTACTAATTTTTGTTTCCCTCTGTATTTGTAAAAGAAGACTCCAATTAAATGAATCTTAAGCTTTGCCTGTAAAATATATGATGGGAAACAATGCAGGAATCAAAAAAAACGTTACAGGACTGAGGATTCCAATGCTGGTCTGGTGGGTGTCCAGCTGGATCAGTGGGCTAAGGCACATACTGTTATATAACCGAGACACTGTGCATCCAAATCCTTTGTTGTAAATCATCTCATCGTTCTCTGTCCTCTCTACTTAATAGATTTTCAGTGTATTTATTTTTTTAATTCCCCCAAGTCCATAGAAAGGTCACACTGCAGCCTCAGCTGGAGAATCACGTCTGTGAAGCTGAGGTTCAGTGATTGTGCCATGAAATCCGGTTCTCCCCTTCAACATCTCACTACTCACTACTCCACCCTGCCGTATCTCTCGTCTACCTTTCTGCTCAGTGACCTATCCAGAAACAAAAAGATGCACAAATATTCCTGTAACTGAAATGGATAGCAAGGCAGGAGGCTGACATCTAGTGGTGGTGCATAAGCTTTACAGCTGAGCACAAGTTCATATTTGCTGTAACAGTAAACTGAGCTTTGCTGCACTCTGCTGGTGATACATTGGCAGTGTGAAGTATCAGAAAGATGCTCATGGATAAATGTCTGTATTCTGCAAAAGCATCTGATGAATTTTTTAAAAAGTGTGTAAAGGCCTGTCATATCACAAGTTTAGTCTATAGTGTGTACCTGCCCAGGTCATATTGAAGTCAGAAGAAAAAAAGATTGACAAGAAATCTGCACTGAAAAGGAGGCTGCAGTATTTAAACATAATTGAGAAGTAGTAATGTGTGAGATGTAAAAAGGTGAATCTCAGGAAACAGATGAAATGTCACATAGAAAGATATGGAGAAATAGAGAGACACCAAAATTGTGTTAGTTCTCCTAAATTGACCCCAGAGGATTAGGGCTGCAGGCGCTCAGCATTGGCTTTACTGCTGCTAATCTCTGGCACACATTCAGCACCACATGACCAGCATACAGATTCATACAGTCCACGAGCTCACGTGTATCAAAGCCTGCTGCAGTGATTCCAATGCAGCGAGGCAGTAATACAAAAAATGTACAATAAAAAAATGTACAATAAAAAATGTTATATTTTACCTAAAATGTATTGGGTGGTCAAAAAATCTGTGTTTCTATTTTATTTATCATGTTAAAGCCACTGTGTGCATGATGTGAAATGTCCCTTCTGTGGGTCATCTGGTGTTTTTTATGAATATTGATCTGTGGTGGACAGTGATCCACACCTCTACCTTCCCACTGACCTACTGACCTGACTCCCAATGAATTGGGAACCAGAATTATCTATTTAATTTGAAATATGCAATAGGATAACATAGGATTTCTACCAATAGTGACTTTAAATATATAATCTAGCATAACAAACTACTGCTGTCAGATAAATATCGTAAGTAAAAAGTAAAATATTTCCCTCTAAACTGTCAAGGAAGAGTAAAAAATCGTCACTAGATATTTTTCAAAATTCTCAATTGTTTCCAGTAATGCAGGGATGATGTCTGCTAAAGTTTACAGTTGATGACAAACAACCTTAGTGGGCAAAGCTGGCCAAGACAGATCTCCCATTCAGCTGTTGGGTTAATGTGATCAGAAGTAAGCAGGGGGGAAATACAGAAGATATAACTGTTATAACAGTTGAATGATTGAATAAAAAGTGATCGTTCAAAAAATATATATATGTGTTATTATTTTATAGAGTGGGGTTGGTGCGGAGCCCCTTAGGGTTCATGGGGGAGAAAAAAAGTAGATGCGTGTAAAAAATATATAAATACTTTTGTGTTTTCCTAAGAAACTATTGTGTTCTCGCGCAAATTCATTTAGTGTCCCTATGACAGCTCTGGCAACGCACCTCTAGTTAGTGGCTGTAGCAACTCAAACTCAACCAGCGGCAGCTCTGGGTCTAACCTGTGGAGGAGCAGCAACAGAAAGTTTGCTTTGCGAGGGAGTCAGGCCGGTCTGGGATCAGCAAACGCGATGTTGCTGCCATTTGGGCGTTGCTACAGCCGCTAACTGACGGTCCATCTCACCGGAGCTCCAGCGCGCTCTCCTCCCGGTGAAGTAGTCTGCTAGCGGCGGGTAGTGGGGCGGAGGGGCCGTGGGGTGTGCTAGCCAATTGTCTCCGTCTTATATTTGAGGCCATTCTCAAAATACAGGTGTGTTCGCTCCATTGTTGTGTTTGTTTCCATTGTTGCAAAACTGAGTTGGAAGTACATTGATCTGTTTTGTACATTAACGTAGTATAATTATTCTTCTATTCCTCCCTCTTCAAGCCTGTAGTCCCATCGCCTGTCAACATAACTCTTTCCCTCTAATCTAAAATGCCAGGGATTAAATAGGCAGCCAACTCTCCATCCATAATTCTACCATGCCCTCCCCCTTCATCTCTCTCTCTCTCTCTCTCTCTCTCTCTCTCTCTCTCTGCCTCTGCCAGAATAGTCATTTTGAGACCATAAGCATGATGTTTGGGAGACAGGGAGAGGAAGGTGGGTGGGATGGATTAGATTAAGTTGGGCCAAATTCAAGGGATCACCCGTGGCGAGAGGGGCTGACGGATAAATGGGTGGGGAAAAGTGTGTGTTTGTGTAAGAGAGAGGCAGAGAGAGATTGAAAGGGAGGGAGAATATGGTCGAGTCATGCAATCAGAGCCAAAATCTGGCAGCAGGTTGTTTCAGCCCAGATATGACCCAGTTCTCCCACCCCACCCCGTCAATCTCCAGCACCCTGCTGCTATTCCATAATATCACACTACACCTCTCAAAGCTCATCATGACAGCCTTTCAACAACCTAGAGGAGTTTAGGATTTAATGCACAATATATACCTTGCCTCTCACTTGACCAACAGGATCTTGGATTGTAGCACGAGCACTGACAGGGATCCTCCTTCGCTTTTAGGAGTAGTGGTGCAAGTGGAAACATTTGCCTTCGCCTCACTGGGTGGGAAAGACGTTGCCCCATGGAATGCATTGGATTGAGTATGGATTTTGGACTTTTATGTGACAATTGACCAGAGAGTTAGAGAAAGAGGAAGAGAAACAGGGCAGAAGTTTGGGGACAGGAGGAGGAGGACACGGGAAGAAGAGGGCAGGGAGATGGGAAACATAAACAAGGCTTCTAAAAAGAACAGTAACAGGAAGAAGGTAAGGACTCATTCATTTCCTTTGAGCTGAGAAAAACCAATTTATCAAAGAGTTTGAACTGATAGATATGTAAGCTAATGCTTAAGATACATCTGACAATGTCCAAGCTACATTTGAGCTGCAAACAACTGTCCTATCAGACACAACTGCCATTCAAATGGATTTTGTATTTTAACATATTAAATTATATTTTATTTGACTTATGTTTAGCATAACAGTATAAACAGGTGTGATTAGCTAGTTTCATTGCAATGAATATAAGTGGTAATTTTATCTGGGTCCGACTTCAGTTTGTTCTTCTCCTCTAAGGGGGAGTTGCCCATAGAACGAAGCAGCGCCCCATTGGCTGCCGCCATGCTGGGGGGCCTGGGTGGTGCAGGTGAGGTGGACACGGATGACGAGGATGAGGGAGGGAGCGAGCGGGACTTTGATGAGCCCCTGTGCGCTCTGGTTAAGAACTGCAACATGCTGCACAACTTAGTGGGGCCTGCGTGTATCTTCCTCAGACAGGGCTTTGCACAGAGCCAGCTTGTATGTATGACATTCACACTCTCACACACACACACACACACACACACACACACATACACACACACACACACACATGCACACACAGTACATCATTATGAAAGCCAAATTCTCTCATAAATCTCTTTATCCATCCATTTTCACAGTGCCTGTTCAAGGGAAGGTGAAGCTGTGGCCATCCGTTAGTTCAGCGCGACATCATCACAGCCTTTCCATGATAATTTCACCCTGTGAGTCTCAACCCCCATCAATCCTATATATATATATATATATATATATATATATACCCCCATATCACCACATTTCATCAGAGTTTATGTGATTGTGCTAGATGACCTTTGTTGCATAATATGATTTATCGTGGGGGGAAAAACTATATGAAATAAACTGGTATTATAACCTTGGAAAGGTTCAAACTTTTTTCAACCATAAATTATTTTACAATATGTTTTTCACCTTGGAACAAAGGAAGAAAGAAATGGGTAGCACTTTATAATAACTACACACTATGAAGCATTAGTTAAGTATGAGTAAACACTTAATTCATCATTTATAAAGCATTGTTCCTACATTAATAATTCATTAGTATGCAGTTCATAACAACAGTTGTAAATGTTTTATTCTTGATTAATAAGCCCGTCTATTATGTGTTTCATTATTGTGTTTTCATACTTTATAAATGATGGATTCCCCATTTGTAAATGAAGTATTATATATTTTACAAACCAATTATTAAGGAGTTGTAGATGATTAATAAGATCATTTGTAAAGTGTTAGTAAATGATTAATAACTTATTTAGATGTACATTATTCATGCATTTATATATATAATGGTTAGGGACTATGTTAATATATGCTTTATAACTGCATATCAATACTGCAATTCATGATTAATTCATGATTTATTAAGGTAGTTACTACTCCTTAGTAAAGTGTTTTGTGTGACCTCATCTAAAGTGAGGACTATCTATGCCTTACAAAGCATTTATTAATGACATTTAAAGGCCAGCAGTGCCTCAAAACAGTTTTTTAACAGAACAGGCAAATAGACCCAATACAACGTGATCAAGAACATATCAATATTTATTGCAAGATGCAAACAATATACTGTTAAATACAAACCTCTCATCCATTAATTCATGTAAGAAACAAACAAACAAAGACATTCTCCTTCAGGAGAACATGGCTGTATATAAAACGTTTGTAAATATACAACTGGACCTAACCAGCAGCTTTGCATATTAGTTTACATTTACTTATTTAATTATTCATTTTAACCCAACAAATCGATCTCCACTGTTCGTACTTTTCTTCAGTTGCATGTCCCGATGGCAGCCGGCCGAATCTGGTCATTGTTTGCAATAAACGAAATACCGCTTTCATATGCCGTCATCAATGTGAGACGGACAAAGGAAAGGACCGCTTCATACGTTATCAACGTAGGACAAACGTTACGCTCAGGAACTGGTACAGAAGTGCACTAACGCGATGGAAAACTCCGACCTAAGTTGGAAGGGCGCGCAGACCTGGGCCAGAAAGAATGACTGCTGACGGGCTTCCAATGCCCGTCTGTTTGTTTCTTAGTTTGCTGGCACGTAACGTTACACATTATGGAGGATGAGTATTCAGCTCGCCTTCCAGCTAGCACTAGAGGTCCTGAGACAGGCGCGCGCTAACGTGTCACCTCCGTTGTAAATAGAGCAATCCAGGTGACAGATGGCTAACTAGCTGTTATACAGTATGTGGAGTGGATGTGAATGAGATCGATATGCTTGGTATGAAATGAATAATTAAATAAGTAAATGTGAACTAATATGCAAAGCTCCTGGTTAATGGATGAGAGGTTTGTATTTAACAGTATATTGTTTGCATCTTGCAATAAATATTAATGTTTTTGATCACTTTGTGTTGTGTCTATTTGCGTTTTGAGGCACTGCTGGCATTTCAGTGTCATTTATAAATGCTTTGTAAGGCATAAATAGTCCTCACCTTAGATGAGGTCACACAAAATACTTAATAAATGCTTTATAAGGCATAAATAGTTCTCACTTTAGATGAGGTCACATAAAACACTTTACTAAGGAGTAGTAACTACCTTAATAAATCATGAATTAATCATGAATTGCAGTATTAATATGCGTTTATAAAGCATATATTAACATAGTCCCTAACCATTATATATATATAAATGCATGAATAATGTACATCTAAATAAGTTATTAATCATTTACTAACACTTTATAAATGATCTTATTAATCATCTACAACTCCTTAATAATTGGTTTGTAAAATATATAATACTTAATCAAGAATAAAACATTTATAACTTGTTATGAACTGCATACTAATGAATTATTAATGTAGGAACAATGCTTTATAAATGATGAATTAAGTGTTTACTCATACTTAACTAATGCTTCATAGTGTGTAGTTATTATAAAGTGCTACCAAGAAAGGATTGTTGGAAGGGACCTCTTCCACATACTGTACACCCTACAGGAGTCACAAGGTATAATAGGTAATATAACACACTGTACTATAATGACAAAGCAACATGGCATCCAAAATGTAACAATAGTGACTCATCACACGGGCGAAATATAATTGATTTATGATGAATTTGATTATAAGACTCAATTATTTTACTGTATTTTGTAGTTGACCTGCTTTGGTGACTGGATGTAATTCAATGTAAAAGTTGAAACAGTCTTATGACCACTGACACTATTCTTGTCTACGGCCATGGAGAGCTAATGTCTTTCTGTAGAGATGAACGGACACAGTGAGTATATATAGTGTGGAAGGGGTTGCTCAATGACACGCCCGCAGCGAATAATCACTTGACTCTGCATTTCCCCTCAGCTCTATGTTAGCTCTATCGCAGCTCTATCGAGTGTTTCAGTGTCTTTTAACTCATTTTTTTTGGTTTTACGACTCTAGCCTGACTCTGTTGGTTCTCTCTCATCACTCTGATGAACTTAAAAAGGGTCAGGACTTAGTGGACACGAAGAGCTGAGCTAAGAGGGGAGTAAATATTTGTCCAATATACTTTAAGCTAATTTAATCAGATCAGCATGTAAATACTGTCATTGTGAGGAATATTAACATGCTGACTTTATTCAAAGATGTGTATATGGTACAGCTTCACAAAGCTACTAGCATGGCTTTAAGCTTAGGACATTTCATTTCATTGCGTTTCATTAAAGCGGACAGCTGCGGACTTGTACCGGTTTGGTGCAAGTCGTACGCGCATTTCCCGATCCACACTCCATCCAGTTGATAGCGGTAATACACCAGAACGTTGTTTTCCATATGTTCAATTCCATTCGAATTAGCTTTACATTTCTTGTTGTTGATAATGATCAGTGTTGGAAGTTTCTTGCATCCAGAAACCCAACAGCATCTGTCACCACAGTCACCACAGTCTTGCACTTGTAGGACAACTTTCTGTTAATACTTACAGTCATGGATGGAGGAAAGAGACAGGATTCCTCAATAGAGTACACAGATTAGTCTATGAGATGGATAGTGTGAGGTTGAAAGCATTTACTGGTTTTTAATTCCCCATAATCCCCTTTGTTCTCTACAATGGTAAACTGAAGTCCCTCAGGAGCACAGTAGACAGCTTCTAGTTCTCATTTACACTCTTTCTTTCCTTTGGTGTTGGTGGCATCTAGATTTTGCTACATGATAGACTTACTGGAATCCTTCCTAAAGCCACAGCATTTGTCCTTCACCAACTTTAATAAGCACTCAGTGGTATTAATAGTTTGGGAATGAAAGCCGAAAACTAAAAAACATGGGAACAACAAGAAAAACATTTGCATACTTTCCTCTGTGCCTGAACTTGGCTCAACCTGACAGTCACTCATTTTAGCAAAAAAGACAAATTGGTAGGTGGTGTGTTTGTCGCATGTTGAGCCTGCACAGGTGTGTTAAGGTCCGTTAATCAAGTCCCGGCCGAATAGCAGTGCAGATGCAGATGAAAAAAATCAGCATCGGCAGATTGGGAAATGAAAAAACATTAATCCTTTGTGATTTGTAATAGAATTTACAGCTGTAATCTCCCTGCCACTGTTCTCTCCCCTGCGTCCTCTAATCCAGGCCTGTATTATTCCTGCAGCTGAGCATGTTGTGAACAAACGTGTCCTGGCATTACCTTTTGTTCATGCCACCACACGCTAAGGCCAATTCGAAATATAATGTCAATTGTTTTTTTTGTGTATGGCTGTAGCTAAAAGTGCTCCTGTTGAAACTCATTTCAAAAAACAATGTAGGTTCTGGCCCCATTTTGCAAGTGCCATTTCATCAGCTTTGTTGCATGTGTGTGTGCAAACAGACGGGCAGGCCTTATTTCTGTGTGTTTAGAAAAGCAGTTTTTTATGATGCGTTTTGAATGCTTGTCATGGAGCATATGAACAGCAGACCTTCAAAGCTTCTCCACCAGAGATTGGACATAAGCTTGTGTAGCAGATCGACTAAAAAGGTTATTTGGGTCACTCAGATCAAAACCCAAATAATCCAGCAATAGGATCCCCGCTCAGGCGATTGAACATGGAACAAAAATGCTTCACATGAGCGAAGTAACCGCTAGAAGCTGAAGAACTAAAAAAATGTTTTTTGGATGTTTTTACAAATGTGCGTATGAGAAACGGAACAAGACACATGAGATTTAAAATGTGTGTTTGTGACCTGACTGACTGTCCATTTCTCTGTATGTGTGTCTTCTATCCTCACCACCGCAGGACAGAGATCTACGACCAGAGGAAATGGAAGGTACGGAGATATCAAAAGCTTAATTCAAAATCCTCACTCTCACTCCAACGTCATCATTCTCTAGTTTTTTCTGCCTATCAAACCTCAAACCTTCTGTTTGACTTTGAAAAATTGTGCTTTACTGTATAGGTCAAATTTCCTGACTTCGCCCAACAATTGACTGTGAACCAGCAGAGATGAATTTTTTTTGAACTGTGGAAGATCAAAGTATAAGATTAGTAATCAAAGAGAAAGATTAATATAGACCGTTTAAGCACTGTTTAACTCTCTGATCCCTCAGGTCTGGCTCAGACTTTCACACTCTGCATTCACACAAATGTAATATGTGATTTGACATTTTTATTTGTTTATGTAGAAACTCAGTACAATGAAAATAATAATAATAATAATAATAATAATAATAACAACAACAGTAAATATAATTTAATTGCTTTACAATAAAAACAGAACAACAAGAGATCTGATAGATAACTTGGGGCGAGGCCTGTCAGTCCTTTGAATGTAATCAGTAATATCTCATTTAAATTGAAATGCATAAAAACTTTGGAGACTCGCAAAAAAAACATATCAGGGTACGACTTTCAAATAAGGCAGCTGTTATAAAGGTCTTATAAGTTATAATGGTAATGAGAAGGTAGTTCAGCAATGTTATAAGCCATTCATAAGAACAGATTTGGGTTGTCAGGCTGTGGAAAAACCCTATTGCAGTGTTTTTCATTCTTTCTATTTGGTAATAATGCAGTTAAAAGAGTACTCCAGTGATTTTACATAACCATCAGATCAATTAGAAAGAAAAGACAATCGTGTAAAGAATTCTACATACAGGGCTTTTACATAACAAGTACACTTAGAACTGCAATACCGCTGTCTTTCTTGCACTTATTTACTGTTCTTCACACATCTTCCCTGCAGAGCTGCGTGAGGCCTTCAGGGAGTTTGACAAAGACAAGGATGGCTTCATCAGCTGTAAGGACCTGGGCGAGTGCATGAGGACTATGGGATACATGCCGACGGAGATGGAATTGATAGAACTCAGCCAGCAGATCTGTGAGTGATCTGCGATTCCTAACCTATCAGTCTGGTCATTCATTTGCTTGCTTGTTAAAGACACAAAAAAGATCTGTGAACAGTGTCTTCTGTACGTACTTATTTCCTCCCTGTGTAGGTGGCGGCAAAGTGGATTTTGAGGACTTTGTTGAACTGATGGGTCCCAAGATGCTCGCTGAGACTGCAGATATGATTGGAGTCAAGGAGCTGAGAGATGCCTTCAAAGAGGTAAGCAGTATCATTTATTGTCAACTTACAGCCAAATAGACCACCCCCTTTCCCCAACTTTCACTTCTGATGCATTTCTTTTCATGTGCTTTCTCAAACCCATCGATTTCATTTCCCAGTTTGACTCTGATGGTGATGGTCAGATCAGCCTTGGAGAGCTGAGGGAAGCCATGAAGAAGCTAATGGGGGAGCAGCTGACCCACCGCGAGATAGACGAGATCCTGCGAGACGTTGACCTCAATGGGGATGGAGAGGTGGACTTTGAAGGTGAGTGATTGATACTTTAGGTAAGGGAACAGAAAGGTAGCAGAGTGTGAATTTCAATCAAGCTAGTAGGTGGATGTTCAGGCTAAGGAAAGAAGTAAAAGGAGATGGTGGAAGAAAGAATACACTTAATGGTGACACTATCCTTTTTCTTAACCAATAGTAACAACACATCTTTTCTTTCCACAGAGTTTGTGCGAATGATGTCTCGCTGACTCTTCACCAAACCTCACTCAACTGCATAAACACAACATGGACCAGACTGCACACTGTTCTTGTAATTCTTCTTGATGTACAAAGATTTATTAGGGTTTGTAGTTTTCAGTTTTATGTTACTTCCACCATTTCTCAAGTATAAGAGAACCCCTTTAATGTGGTACTGTTGTGTGAATGTATTTAACATGTAATGAGAGATTATAGAGTGAAGACTCAGCAAGGGGACGGTTCAACCAAAGCTTCTCTTTAGAGGTGAATTTACACTAAATATTTGTACTGAGAATCCCAAACCAGCAACAAGTGTGTGTGTGTGTGTGTGTGTGTGTGTGTGTGTGTGTGTGTGTGTG